TTTACGTTTCCGAGGATAGTAGGCGGGGCCAGGTACGTACGTTCTGTTAGAGCAGAGCTACAGATTAGAAATGCCCAAGGCGAAGCGGTCAAAAGTCTGGCTGTACTTCACAGCAAAATATGCAAACTCAGCAGCCTGCAACAAGGGCTTTAAGCTGATACTGTGATACTGTGCAAAGGAGGTAACACCTCAAATCCGATGAAACACCTGGCGACGCATAGCGTTTTTTTTTTTAAAAAGCCGAGAAATGCACCGTATTTGATGGCAGCAGCAGCCGTTCTTCTTTGTTGTTCGCGTGTAATTTACGTTGAGTAGGCTAACCACGTTATTACATTAATGCATGTAAGGTGAACTAGCAAACATCATCATAGCTACATGCAGCTGTCTTCTTGTTTGATGGCAGATACTCCCTTCACCCTGGCCAAAAAGGCTAAAATGACCAAAGAAAAAGAGGGAAACAGCTAAACATGAGAGGTTTTTGGACAAAGTTTGTATTTTTTCCATTGTTTAAGCACTGCTTCCAGCTAAGAGTGATACCATATATGCCCCATAGCTGCAGAAAAGTCTAACATTGTTATCTTTTTACATAAAACCAGCTGAATATGAGAGGTTTTTGGACCAATTTTGTGTTCTCCATTCTTTAAGCACCGGTTTGAGCACCATTTGAGCACCGGCACCGTTTCAAAAGTACCGATTTGGCACCGGTATCGGATAAAACCTAAACGATACCCATCCCTACATAGCAGTGAATTATTTTGATAAAAGAAAGTAACAGAGACACAGAGCATACAAGTAAATGGTTCTACTTTTATTTATTACAGTCTTACTCGATAATAAAGTGACGACATGCAAATTATTAAGCAGAAAAATATAAACAAAATCAGTGCAGTCAGAAACTTCTTCTGTGCTTCTATCTATTAGGTTACAACTCTGAGTTTTATCAGTATTTAAGACTTTTTGATCACAAGCTTTCTTTCTAAAACAGGTGAGCAGGTTTATCTGTGGACAGTCAAGTGCTGAGAAAATGAAACTCGACATTTGGCAAAAAATCTGCTTGATGTCAGATCAGTTTCTACTATTACAAACAGTTTTTATGTTTCACTGTAAAGCATTATATTTATGTGTGTTTTTCTCCTAACTCTGGGCGTGAAATGAGACATTTTACACACAAAAGAAAATAAAATTCACACTTTATTTATGTATTAAGTCTTATTTGTAAGTTCGGTCGTCATCAGTTTTTTTTTTATACTTGATACAGACAACCTGAGACAGCAACAGGAGAGCAGGTCCTTGTATTCACAAGTACCACAGACAGTAATTCTGTTATACAGGAAGTACAAGGAAATATTAAACTGATCTGAGAACAGAAATCACAGTTTAAGCAGCTGAAGAGGCTTAAAATAATAATACGAAGTAGAAATAGAAACAGTCCAAATAAATGAATATAATAAATAAGTAAGGGTTAAAAGGGGAGATACAAGTTGGAATATTTCACTGAAACTATGGCTGAAATGTTAAAAATGTGTTAAAATGACTAAAGTTAAACATAGATTTCTGGAGGCATCACAGACAAAAAATAATAATAACTAAAAATAGTGACAAGCTGTTAAAACTATAAAGACAAAAAACTGTGCATTAATAGCTGAGACAGTTGATTAACCACAAGCTGAATGTTAAGTGAGGTGGAAAAGGCTGTAACTAGATTGCATATTAAAAATAGTTTGGTAAGTTTAATAAAAGTATTAATGTCAGGTTGTTGAGAGTTACAAATCAGACGTAAAGCAAATCAGTAAAACTGGAAGACAAAGAATGGAGAACATGCAAAAAATCAGTGTTGGTGAGAAAAACAAATATTCATCTTAAGTCACAAATATAATTGCATACATTTCACATATGAACCTGTTTTATATACAGCATGAATGAACTTGATGGTTTTTATGTCCCAGCTATAGATGTTCTGTGGTGAGAGAAAAAAGGGTTTATACTTGTGTTTGAGGGAATGAGGAATCCAGCTCTGCGCTCGGGTGACTGAGGAATTGCTGGATGAATACATGAGAAGCTGGTGGATATCAGCTTTAAGGATGTGTGAGGGGTCACCGACTGCCCCTGGTGTCTGTGACTTCCTGTTGGAGAACAATAAAGTTTAAACAAAACAAACATCGTCTGCCCTCGATGTAAAGTGAAGTTCTGTTTTGTGTGATTGAGTCTTTACAGAGAGTGTAAAGTTACCTGTATCCTTGCAGGCTTTGTTTAGAAGGTGCAGACAGACTTTGTACCTGTGTGGAGGAGAATATCGTCTGGTTTTACTTTCATGTAAACATCTGGTCTCAGACATCTTATTATTTGCAATTCGTTCTGTGTTGTGAATATTTTTTGTGGAAAATGTGAAGCTGAAACACTTCTCTATCTTCTTCTATATCAGTAAAAAATCATTAATACTTTATCCTTTTTTTGGTTTTAAATTACCTTCACCTGGGATACTTAAAGCTATGGTGTGTTTTGTACTGCAATGCTGTTACTCGACTAAATGAAACTGACTGTCAGACAGAGATGACCTCATGCTTTGTTGTTATTTAATCAGAAATGTATGAGTGAGGATTTTGCATGTATAATATTGAAGGAAGTAATTAGAGTAAAATACAGCTTTATTGTTAACTCTGCTTTGGTCCAGACTAATATATGGTTTTTAGTGCAGTGGCACTCTGAGATCACTACAATGTGTTGTCAGATATATCTGACAATATAAGTTATTCAAACAGTGATACTAATAGTGCCTGTAATAAATTACTTTGGCTTGTAATTATGGATAGATTTTTGACTAAGACTAAAAAGAAGAGAGTTGCAGTTATCGATCTGGGAAGTGAACAGGCTATGAACAAGAAAGGCAGTGGCATGTGGGGAGAGAAAAGGACAGAGACGATTAATGTTACGGAGTTGGTAATATGTAGACCGAGTGATGTTATTGATGTGTGAGTTAAGAAATAGGGTACTATCAAGGATGACACCCAGACTTTTCACACATGGGGAAACGGAGACCGGCGAGTTATTGATTGTAATAGAAAAGCTATTAGTTCTGGATAGCGTTTATTTAGTGCCTACCAGGAGAAGCTCAGATTTGTTACTATTGAGTTTGAGAAAATTGGAAGAGAACCATGAATTTAGTTCAGCTAAACAGAGGGTGAGGATGGGGGTAGAGCAGAATCAGGTTTAGTGGACAAATAAAGCTGGGTTGGTCACGGTTCTGGGTCATTTTGACCCAGCATTTTCAGTTTCTTGTATGTTGGTATTTTTCTGTATTATGGTTTATTTTCTGATTCTTTAGTTGTCCGTTTTTGAATATTATAATCCTAGGTTTCAGTGTTATTCTGGTTAAGTTTGTTCGTAGGTTTAGTTCAGTGTCTAGTCTGTGCCTGTCATGTTTCCTGTTTTACTTTACTTTGTAAGTCTGAGTGCTAGGTGAATGTGTTGAGTTTTGCTTCCCTTTGGTCTTGTCATGTTTGATTTCTCCCAGCTGCGCTCTCCTCCTGTGTCTCATTCCCCTCGTTATTCCCCAGGGTATTTAAGCCTTCTGTTTCTCTGTGTCAGTGTTGTGTCCTCCATCATGCTGTGTGATCCCTTCTGTGCCTCTCTGTGGAGTTTTAGGTTTCGTTTTCTCAGTCTAGTTTAGTTCAGTTCTGCATCATTTCCCTGAGTCTGCTAATAAAGCTGCATTTTTCTGAGTTCATTTCCGTGTGTTCATGACAGGATGTCATCAGCATAACAGTGACAGTGAATAATGTATTTAAAAAAAAATATCTCCAAGAGGAAGAAGGTAGATAATGGAAAGAAGGGGCCCCAGGACAGATCCCTGGGGCACGCCTGCAACCAGAGGAAAGGGCTGAGAAGTGAAGGATTTAAGTCAAATAAACTGAGTGCGAACGATGGATATATGTTTTTATATTTAATTTGTTTGGTGTTTAACTGTTTTTGCCATCTCACTAAATACACTATCTACTGTGATTTAATTAAGATGAAAAGAATAAAATCATAGATTTACACACATCGCTTTGTTTTCATACATAAGAAAGGCCAGGCCTGGCAAAAACCAACAATAGGGTGGGTTTTTGCAATTCATGTTAAACAAATATACCTCAGGTATATAGAAGGTGTAAGAAAACTTTCCAGATGATGGCAAGAACATTACTTCCGAGTAAAAACATGACAAAACTCTTTAATTTGTCACATATAGACGGACAATATGATACAATATCATTCTGCTTAGGAAGCAGACAAACTTTCTCTAAACTCTGAATGGCCTTCGATGTGTATAAGACTCTGGTGTAGTGGTGGTATGTAGTAGCTAAGTCTGGTAAGTGAATTTCCATGTTGACCTATAATTACCTAAAACATAATGAAATAACACATTTCAGAACAAACACTGAATGAAAATATTGTGACTGTACCTTCAGCTCACATCTGCACATTAATGTAAAAAGCACTCCCCTCGGGTTCATCATACTCCCCTGTTAAAATGATCAAATGAATCCACAAAACAGAATTAATACTTAAAAAAAACTTTGACCACTCTGCGATCACTGTTTGTTCTAAGATCTTTAAACTCAATAAGAGAGGAGGTGACTTTCTCATATTTATGTGGTCCTCAAATGTTCATATTTTTATTTACAGGATTGTAAAAACATGTTACATGGAATTAGTTTCATTAAATCAAAAATAAATTTCATCTCAAACTGCTCTGTGCATTTCAGTGCATATACTGTACCATTTCTGTTTTTGACTTGTTTGATTGATTCATAGACGTTAGCAGTACCTAAAGAAAAATATAAGCCAGGGTTACATTAATCATTTTATTACAGTTACACTAAAGATGAGATGTTTAATAAAGATCAATATTAATAATGATAATAAAGATTGGTTTAAGTGCTGACCATGTTGAAGAGCTTTGTACACATGAGTTTCCTTCTGTTTGACTCCATGATTTGTGGAGGAGCTCGGACTGGGAATCTCAGACTGGATCGACCTAAAACATAAAATACACAATAAACTTAAAAGTAACTGATGTTTGTTTAAAATAATAATTTTTAAAAAGTATTTTACCAACCTGGTGAAGCAGGAATCTGTGAAAGAGACAAATGTTATTACACATGTTTGTCATGTATGAATTGTTCCACTGATATTTTGTGTCATGAGATCAGAATACATGTATATGTGTGAATAATTAAAGTGTATGTAGTAAATAAACTCTCTAATACAGCATGAAAAGAAGAGGCTCTTACACTTGGACTGTCTGCAGCGATACAACAAGAGCAGGAGAATAATAATGAGAGAGACTCCACAAACCAGTCCAACCATCAACCACACAGGAGGAAATGAAGAGCTGTCAGCTCCAGACACAGTTACTGTAATGACTAATGACAATAAAGTATTAATAAAATATAATTATATTAGATGTTTTACAGAGGTTCTCACAAAATAAACCACGTTGACTTCAAAAGTTAAAACACACAATTTAATGTTCCTTATAATAATAATGAAAATCATTTACAGAAATCATCTAAGGCGCTTGGAAAGAAAAGCATCTGGACTTTGTTTCTTGTAGACATTTCACCTCTTATCTGAGAAGCTTCTTCAGTTCTAAGGTCAAATGGTGGAGAGTCCCAGATTTAAACCTAGTGGGTCCAGACGCTTTTCTTTGCAAGCTCCTTTGACTAGGATGACCTGGATGACTGAGAACCTTCACAGACAAACCTAGTGGGAGTTTCTCCCCCAAGAGGGACATGGACCCCCTAATGATCCTCTACCTAATCACACAAGCCAAGGTATGAAAACGGGTGTGGGTCACAATCAGCCCAGGTTTTGGGTGAGCTCATTGTTAAACCTAGCTCCACCCCATCATGTAATTTCCTGAGGTCAGATGGCCCAGGATGTGAGTGGGAGATAAGGCGTCTTGGAAAGGATCACAAAACTTATTATAGATTATAGATGGCAGAGAGTTGGTGTCGTAACCCCCCGCCTCTGTTCAAAGATGGTCATTCACAGTGGACATAGATGGCTTCTTTCACTCCTCTTTCAAACCATCTGTCCTCTCTGTCCTAAACGTGAACTTTGTCTTCCTCAGAACAGTGACATTTGTCCTTTAGATGCAGATGGACAGCCTAGTCTTGTCCTGTGGAGGTGGCTCTTCTCTGTTGTGCCATGCGTTTATGAAGTGGCTGTTTGTCTCTCCAATGTAGAGGTCTGGGCATTCCTCACAACAATGTACAGCATACATCACATTGTTAAGTTTGTGTTTAGGAGTTTTGTCTTTGGGATGAACCAGTTTTTGTCTGAGTGTGTGGCTGGGTGTGAAGTACACTGGGATGTCGTGCTTGGGCAAGACTCTCCTGAGTTTTTCAAATAAACTGGCTACAGATTTTACAGATTTTAGAAATTTTATATGGATGTGCCATGGGCTCCCCGGTGTCATCTATTGTAGCCAACCTTTACATGGAGGAAGTGGAAATAAAAAGTTCTTGGCTCTTTTAAAGGTAGAGTACCAAGCCACTGATACAGATAACAATATTATCATTCCCTATGTAGCCGGTCCAACCATCTTTGAACAGACGCGGTGGTTTATGACACCAACTGTCTACCATCTATAATCCAGTTTTGAGATCCCTTCCCAGACGCCTTAACGCCCACTCACATCCTCGGCCATCTGATCTCAGGAAATCACATGATAGGGTGGGGCCAGGTTTCACAATGATTTTACACGAAACCTTGGCTGATTGTGACCTACACCCATTTTCACACTTTGGCTCATGTGATTAAGTAAAGGATCAAAAGGGGGTCCATGTCCCTCTTGGGGGACACTCCCGCAGGGCTTAAATCTAGGACTCTACACCATTTGACCTTAGAACAGAAGAAGAGTCCAGACGCTTTTCTTTCCAAGCTCCTTAGACTACGATAACCTGGATCACTGAGAACCTTAATAAGACATTTACTGAAACACACACTGTTTTGATCCTGCTCACCTTTAACTGACATCCAGCTCTGTGCTGACTCTCTTCCTGAGTACTGACACTTGTAGAAACCTTCATCAGACTTTGACACTGCAGAGATGTTCAGCTCCCCTCGGGTATCATTTTGAATAAGTTTGTCATTGTGATAGAAAAACACATTGGAAAGTATTTTTTGTGTTGTCAAACTGCAGCTCAGACTAACAGAAGCTCCCTCAGTCACAGGATGAACAGGACTCACCAGGATAGGAACATAATCGTAAGGATAATAAATAGAATTTTCTGTGAAAAGAAAATACAATTTATTCAGTCAGATGATGTTTATATGTGACTGCTGTAGTAGTGGTGTGATGTTTCAACACAGCTGCAGGAGGACAGGTGGGGCAGAATAGTTCATGGAGCTGCTGTTGTGGATTTTATTATGACATATATACTTGTATACACTAGACATGTAGTCATATTTACTCACATGAATCTTGTGTAATCATATATCCTCATATATGCTGTGCACACTTAGAATGAAGCGATTTATATAGAGGAGTCACTGTGTTAAGCATTTAACCTGAATGTTTAAATCACACAGCCCATATATTTAGGACAAATATATCTACCATCATATCAGTGAAAAACTTTGTGATCAATATTGTTTGAAAATGTAATAATTAGGATCAAAAAGTAACCTTTGATTGTGTTATGGCCAACAGTGACTAGTCCAACATAAGGTTAATGCAGCTCAGCACTTTTAGAGTATGCACATAGAACCCTTACTCAGCATTCATTTGTGTTTATCTGTACCACCCCACGCCCTTGTTGTCTCCAGGCCTTTCAATGCCTGTACAGAAAACAGCCCTAGCTGGGTATGCACCTGAGATTTTGGTCCTAGCTTCAGTTGCCTGAAAACAGGAAAAACCTTTTTTTTTTTAGCATAAATAGCAGTTTATGTCTGGAATGCACACCCGATAAAATTGTCAACTTTTTAAAATTGTTAACTATTTAAGACCTACCACAGAACCAAGTCCGCCAGAGCTTATCTTTATATTTTTACATGCTGTAGTGCCATTTTGGGAGTATTTCAAGCTGCTATACATCATTACAACCATTGGAAGGGAGGACGAGCAAATACTGGCTGGCCGCGACAGACGCTGAGACAGCGCTTCATGGTGCAGTGTTTCCGATTGATGTGCTGCAGAGTCTGGTCAACACCTTCGAACGTCAGAGAGCTGCAGAGCTTCTTGAGCCTGGCCTCATACTACCGCAGGTTCATCAAAGCGTTTGTGACCATCGACAGCCCCCTCCACCGCGTGACGGATAAGAGCCAGTCCTTCAGCTGGGGTGACCCCTGCAAAGCGGCCGTTGTCCAACTAAAAGAGGCCCTCACAAAAGCCCCGGTTCTGGCCTACCCCAAAGCTCAGCAGCCTTCCATTGAGGACACAGATGCCAGCAATTTGGGGGTTGGAAATAAGCTGTGCACTGGGCTGAGCCGAGAGGAACTAGAGCAAGAGCCGACGCAAACTGCTCGCTGTAGTTCTAGCAGTACAGCACTTCTGGCTAGCTGCACTTGCCAAAGGTACTTGCAATTCATCTCCCTATAATGCTAGCACCAGCTGCGTGGCGGCCTCCTCATTACTCCTACCACTGTGCCTTGCTGCTAGCTGGACTTGTGAGAGGTAGGGCTGTAGCGGGGTGACTCAGTTTTACTTCAGTATCTTAGCTGGCATTTTAGGCATCGCTGCATGCTGCTGGGAGCTCAGCATGGTGGTCAACGGAGGCAGCACATAAATCGGAAACACCGCACCATGAAGCGCTGTCTCAGCGTCTGTCGCAGCCAGCCAGTATTTGCTCGTCCTCCCTTCCAATGGTTGTAATAATGTATAGCAGCTTGAAATACTCTAAAAAATGGCGCTACAGCATGTAAAAATATAAAGATAAGCTCTGGCGGACTTGGTTCTGTGGTAGGTCTTAAATCGTTAATAAACTCTGTTCTAAGAATTAAACTCTTTTCCAGAGAATCATTATGAGTGATTTGATTTTAATTGGATCTGAAAAGCTCGACCTCATTGGTGGGATAAAGGTTATCATGCTGGGTACAAAATTTGTGACCCAACACTGTGAACAGTGCAAGTAAAATAAAGAAAGTTTGCTGCTCTGAACTCCCTGACTGGTTCTGCACTGAGGAGAACTCACACACAGCACAACCTTTGATACAACGGCACATTTTTACATTATGATCTTTAAGAATAACACTTTGATGACAATTGAGCTTTTTAGTAGTTTAAATAGAAGAGAGAAAATATAAACAACTTTTGACAAATTGAATTATGAATAAATCGAGTGAAATGAGACCAACATAATTTAAGAATATTTTGATACTATGGAGCCTAAAATCTTCTGAAATTTAAATTTTTGTTTGTCTTCCCACATAAAATTACTTCACATACAGCAAAGCTGGGACAAATTTTAATGTGATGTCTAAATCATAAAAATCGAAGCAGAAAATGTATAATAACATACTCTGTACAACAGTGATGTTGACTGCTCTGCTGAACTCTCCTGATCCAGACTCACACCAGTACACTCCAGTATCTGACACCAATGTGTGGATTATACATGTGGATCCAATCATTTGCCAACAGTTATTATAATATGAAGGGTTGCGCTGTAGAACATTCATCACTCTCCACTCTGTGAAGTTTCCCTCACAGGTCAGTGAGAGAGAGTCAGAGAGGAAGTGTTGCACTCTGTCAGGACTCACTGTCAGAGACACTGCTGAATTAACATCTGAAAACAACATGCAGTGAAGAGACAAAGTACAGAGACATTAGGATTCAAAATATCACAGTAAAAATATTCCTTTGTTTTTTTCGTTTTTTTCTCGAGATCAGCTAATAATGTAAAAAGATAGTAATTATTTGGTGAAACTGCATTTTTTACATTGAACACATTATATTTTTAGTATCTTTATATTAGACTCACTGGTCCAAAATGAAAAGAAAAAAGAGAAAATCATGCAAAATAAATATTAAACATAAGGAAAATAAAATATATAAGCAAATGCTTTTTCTACAAAACACAGCTGTACAAATGTCTCCACCATATTTGTACCAAATCCTTTTCTTGTTAAACCCACAATAGCTGCAAATAAATCTATGAATGAGATTTCTTAATACAACTTTAAATATAGTGCAGTTGTGAATTTCTGTTCCAAGCTTTGAGAACTAATTCTTCCACTTCTTAATGTGAGCTGTCCAGTTTTATTTATGGGTTGTACATACAAACAAAGTTACCACATCATGATGTCACAGTCAAAAAACTATTTGCTGCTACAGCGCACATTTATACAGCTGTTCCAACTATAGGGGGATCACGCTTCTCA